CTCGGAGGCAAAATGAGCAAGAACGCTCATTTGTACATCATTCTAGAGAGAAATAAATGGCCTTTTTAGAAAGTGAACCATGGATGGGGAAATGTGAGCGGTTTTCTCAAAAAATGCTTGAATTCAAGAAGTTTTAGATTTGCGTGTTTTTTTTTTAGTTGCAAAATCCACTTGAACATGACGCTGCTTTTTTCGAAGTTTCTCAAGAACCATTCGAGCCAGAGAATTCGTTTTGGCACCGTTGGATAGAGAATTGAATGGGGGGTGCCCCCAAGACCCCCCCTAGATCCGCCCTGACTGAGAGCATTCTCCCATAGCTTGCACACGTTCTACAGTAAACTTTCCAACTACCAAACGCAGTTGTTTGTCTTCAAGATTCCCAAACGCATTCACCTCATGATTCCTTGAATGATACATTGAATTAGTTGTTTTGTTTGGCTCTACCCGATTTTACGAATGACACTCTGGCGCTAACCAGTGACGTCATGTGCGCACGAAATTCGAGTTTTCAACCGATGAATATCCTACCTTGTATTGTATCATGTTGGATGGACGTAGAACAATGTAATTTATTCACTTATTTTGAATAATAAATAAACGACTGAACTGAATCAGACGAATTTTTGGATTATTTCGAGGTGATTACTTGGAATTAATTTACCTAATTGGATTGGAAACTTTCTACTGGGCAACAGCAGGATTTTTAACACATTTTTCTTTTTCATAGCCGCCAACCAGGCATGAATGCGATAACAAGGCCCGCCAGCCCCATAGATAAAGACAAGTAGCCTGAAGTAGCCCTAAAAATTTTGGCTTCACTAAACACTTAAAAACGTCGATGGTTTGACTTTGACAGCACCATATTTGTCTTTACGAGTCTTTATCTATGGACAGCACATTGAGCATATACGGAGCCAGTTTGATCTTGGAAACTGGAAACTTTCCCTGAGCCTCAGGCTATGAATTTCGATCAAATCTGAGCAACTTTCACTTGAAACCGAGATAAGCAAACCTGTCTTCTCCGCTTCAAATTCCTCGATAGTTGCCATTCAACACAAAATATCCCCCTAAAGGGTACGTTCTGTGCCATTCAAGTTGTTTTCTGACATGCATTGGTGGATGCGCCTGCTTGAGTGCATGCGCAACAAATGAGAGCTTGCGGTTACACGGTGCTGAGGACACTCCATTGTGAACGATAAGACTTTCTTTAATTTAGGGTGTAATTGGACTGCACCGGCTAGTTTGGACCGTAATTAGTGTAGTGGACTCGAGCAACCAGAGTGCAATAATAGTGGTAGTGCTTAATTGGTGACTTCTTTAGTGTTACAACAATAAAAAGGTTTAGTCAATGTCAGCAGGCGTGTCAGACCAGGTAACAACTATCATAATACATTTTACTTGACAGTGTTGTTCAGTTTTCGATTCAAACAGGCGAAATGCCCACTAAACAAGCTCTCTTTGTTGCAGCGGATGAAAGGACAAGGAAACCAAGGTATGTATCCAATCGGCTCTTCTCAGCCCAATTCTTCAATGGCTTCACAACGGTGCCATTGCACTTTTTAATCGCGAGCAAACACCGAAGTCTTCATTATGTTCCGCTTTAGTGTCCAATGGATCCAAAGAGCCAATAGGGGCTGCCGAAGGAGCAACAGGCTCAGAAGGTTTCGAACCATGGAGGACACAACAACAAAACTCTGCCGCTCACACCGGCTACGGCCCATCCGTTCCAATTTCCAGTGCCACGGACCTTTACAACATGAGTACCGCGGGTAAAACCAAAACCTCATTAGTAGCCTTTAGTATCAACAGCCATTAACCAGCCATAACTTCACATTAGCGCCCCATACACGGACAGATTATCCGTACAGTTCAGATACGTAGAGATTTGATTCGACAGATCCAGATCGGACGAATTAAATCTTTTCCTCTGCACTAATTAACATACCAAGCACGAGTGCCGATTCTTCCAGTGGGATTGGAGGTATCAAATCCGTTCGTTAGTGGAGTGAAATCTTACGTTTCAGACAGACTTGGTCTGGCGCGTGGTATTTCAAGTGAACTGAAAGATCTGGTCGTGGCAGAGCAGATTAGTTAAACTAAGTGTTTAAAATGCGAAGCAAGAAACGAATAGCTATTGCTTGTGCTGGCATCATAGTGGTTTCAGAAAATCTACGCAAAAAAGTGCGAAGAAAGTGGGTAGACTAGAGACTGTAGACTGGAAGGGCGTCGGCAGCCATAGGGAAAAATGAGGCAAAAAAAATTAAAAATCGAATGCACGCTGGGATTTTGTTTATAAACACGTTGTCATTAAAACAATTAAATACATAATTATAGAAAAACAAACAAACGATACAAACCGAACTAATTAAATCCAACGTTAAAAAAGCAATTTGATCTACCACTTTCTTAGTGAAATACTGCAAATTCTGAGAAACATACAGATGTGTTCTGTGCACACTAATCATTAGGTACCCTTTAGTTAAACCCCGGCTGTTCTGGGCAACCTATTT